ATGAGGGCAGGGGACTGGACTCGATGACCTCTCGAGGTCCCTTCCAGACCTAGAATCTATGAATCTACATTTACTCTATCCAGCATCTTTCTACCAAAGTATCCTGACATATTTTATCAAGTTTACACTGACACACAATCTATATGCCGAAATCACTTTATCCACTATTCAAACACGGCCACCTGTGGGTTACAACATGGCACATGTTTAACAAAACACAGCACCACTATGTGATGGGTTAGGCCAGGAATGTAATGACTTTAGTGGGAATTTGACCTTGGCATGGGGTTTAAGCCCCTACTGAAGTTCTGTGAACTTTTTCATGACCAGAGCTTACTTTTATATAAAAAAGGGCAATTCCAGAAGCCATAATGTCAAGCTGGGGCATTGGTTACATATTAACTGAGAGCAAATTGTCAAGCACTGAATTGCCAATCTGGCTTTATGCAGTAACGGAGTTTCCTTGGAGGTTTCCTATCAAAGAAATAATTGCGTGAAGGAAAGTCTAGAATATGAGTCTTTAGCTCAGTTTTATACCTTTCATCAATGGCAGACTTTTTCAGCCCACCTTACATCTCAGAAGCTGCCCAGAGCACAATCCCTGTGCTTGTGATGTCTATAATATACACCCAGAGATGCCGCAGGAGGATGCATAAACAGCATTGTCCTGCCCATGCCTCCTCCCCCAGAGAACTACCCTCTGTAGCAGCATTCCCTCTCCCTCTGAACCCCACAGAGGTGCTTCACACAGGTGCAGGGATACATGGGGATGAGGAGAAGGAAGGAGAAGATGGCCAGAACTAAGATTAGATATGTAATACAACCAGAAATTGTCATACTTTTCTGTGGACCTCCCTATTTGAAGAAAAACCTCCCTTGGGGGAGTATTTCCTTTTCCAGGCTAGTAAGGGAAGCGTTAACTAAACCTTCCTCTTGAGCCCATTAACAAGATGTGAGCTCATAGATGGATTAGACAACCCTGGTGCATTACAAAATGTAGGTTTTGTTACTTTAATTTTGTACTGGGTCTTGGTGATTTTTTTGCAGCATCAAAGCTCTGTGCAAAACTTCAGAAGACAACAATTATATTGCCTTTGTTGGCTAGGTAATCTGGGAATTTAGGTGACATCTTTCTGTTCATCTCACACCTGCACTGAGGCTATCAAGGCACAGCTGTGCCTTGCACACAG